CATACTATTCTCTCGTGTGTCAGCCCGCGGATTCCTGAAGGCGAAGATAAAAAAACAAAAAAAGACCCGCCGTGGCGTCCATACTCTAGTGACATCGGCTGAATTTGTGCCTCGCTTAAAGAAGGCTATCGCCATCCTTAAGCCAATTTCGAAGGCGCTGAAGCTGTTTGAGAAGAACGTCACACCAGTTTCGGAGGTGTACCAAGTTTTTGTCGACCTACCGAACGAGCTAAAAGCTACAGGACTCACTGCAGCCGAGTACAAGAGCGTGGATGCGCTCGTCAGCTCGCGATTTGAGTTTATCTACGGAGATGCTCACGGCATTGCGTACCTGTTAGACCCACGCTATGCTGGGATTGACATGGATTCTTCTCTTCGCAGCGCTGTCGAGGATTTTGTTGTACAATGGCATGATGAGGAGAAAGCGGACGCAGTGATCGTGGAGCTGTCAGCTTATCATCGCCATGTCCGAGATCTGAAAGTAACGCAACCACGACAATGGGGCCTACTCTGTGAGCGCAAGATCCCGCTTTTCGACTTCTGGTGTGGACTGAATAATCTCCCTTTGCTGCAGGACATAGCGCTGCGTCTGTTTCGCTGCGCGGCTTCTAGCGCTGCGTCGGAGCGCAACTTCTCGGCTCACGCCTTCATTCACTCTAAACTACGCAACCGGTTGGCGCCTGATCGGGTGGAGAAGCTAGTACATATTTTCTTCAATGCGAAGAATATTTGTGATGAAGACATTGAGCGCTACTCGCATCTGGAAGACTTACTACGGGTGTTTGTAGAGGAAGATGAGGAAGAGGACACCGGGACGAGCAACCAGAGCGACGATTTTGTATATTGCTAAATCTATTAATAGAATGTAGTTACTGAAATATTTGTTTTCTAAATCCTTACAAACTTCTAATATATGAAATTACCAAAGTTGACACTCTTAATTCACAAACTTCACAGTAGTGATTTTGCTCTGCACAGCAGGGTGGGATGTGCAGGTCTATCGATGCAAACAGTGTTTGCGGATTGACCATTGCAGAATGCCGTGGCTTTACGCCCCCTATACCATACTAAGCGCCCAATCAACGACTGCAGTGCACTGTACAAAAGTACGTCGGGGTTTTGATGCGATCGTTCACAGTTCTTCGGCCCGTCGCCCCCTGTGCTGAAGCAAGGAAATTTAAGAGTGATACCTGATTGGACCTCGACCAAGTTCTGGAGCTCGAGGCGATATGCTATTTGATGGATGGACTAGAGATTGATAAATCTGGATTGATAGAGGAGAGGGATAGTGGGCGGGTGAATGACTGATGGGTGGACTAGAACATGATGGGTGGATGGTTTTTTTAATAATCCTCAATAAACCCTTCCTGCAAACTCTCGGGGTGGGTGGGTGGTATAAACGGTTTTTTCCCGACCAATTTATCCCCAGTCCAGAACCCTGCTGCGGCGTCAGCATGAGATGGATCTTAGAGAAGAGTCCCTCGCAGCGATTGCTGGTAGACAACAGTCTCTCCAGGAGCTTGATATGTCTTCTAGGTCCCACTCGCTTTCTTTGCTCTTGGTACCAAAGCCGCGAAGGCTTCCTTATCGGCTTTGTCGTCCCGCTCTCTGCCTGAGCTCGCCGCTGCAGCTGCCGCCTTAAAAGACCTGTTGGTCTTGCGCTCTCTGGTGGTCAGGTGCCGCACCTCTCCGTTAATGACATACTTGCCAAAAATAACATTCCAACACTATGAATTTCAATAATAAGCGGAAATAAGAGTATCTTTACTGCACCAGCATCAAAAGAGGAGAAGATAGAATCACTACAGTTGACTTAACCCACACTCTTATGGTGGTGTTGGCCACTGACAGGAAAAGCAGCACACTACTAATTTAGGAGCCGACACGCACCAACTGTTTGGTAGTCAAACCCTGATCATATGCGCGGATCACCTGCAAAGAGGATTTCAACACTAACTCAAATGAAGATACCACCAACATGGATCCGACGTTATATGTAGAGGTTTATATACAGCGTGCATTGACGGCTCCATAGCACTTTGAAGCAATCACAAGTGGAGGTATTTCTATGATTGTAGTCGTCACTACAGAGCTATAGGAAGTTGGACCATTTAAAACAGGCTAGGTAATGCTTGTATGACGTCAAATACGAAGATGATCCGTGCCCACTCAGCAAGTCTGCTAAGTTTCACACAATTTTTCGCAGCACAGAATTACATGTACATGCACTATGGTTGTGTGATCATGTAGGGTGTGTCGTGAGCCGCAATGACGATCCAGAACCTGTACCCGCCTATAGTTCGACAGTATGAGTAAATACTGAGGCATTCCAGCTACGTAGAGCATGTGTAATCGACAACAGAGTAATGTGTGCGCAACGTGCTACATGTAATGTTAACCTTGCTAATCGAGCGACAAAGACCTAAGGATATCATCACTGACAGTACTTGGTTTTTGCATTATCCTTATTCAATGAGAGCCCGCTACAAACAATACGACGCCATTCTAGCGACGAGACGCTTACGGGAGCAGCCTCTTGGGGTCACGCGAGAACATGGAGGACTTACTGATGTTGCCCAGACCCAAGTACAACATGACCACACGCTCCAGACCAATACCACCGCCACCGTGGGGCAGAGCGCCAAGACGGAACGAGTAGATGTAGTTGCGCATCGACTCCTGAAGCACACCCAGTATGTCCATACGCTCCATCTGCAGCTTTGGAATGTGCACACGCTGCGCACCCGAGACCATCTCCTCGCCCCGGATCATCATGTCGTACGAGTGGCTCCAACGCTTGTCCGTCGGGTCTGGCATCGTGTAGAAAGGACGCACGCCAGCGGGAACTTGTCGAGGATGTAGAAGTCAGTGTCGTATTTCTCCTTGACGAGACGACCCAGCCACTTCTCGTGCTCTGTGCTCAGATCGTCTTCAGGCACGTGGTCAGCGCCAGCCTCCTTCAGCATCTTGACACCTTCCTAGAAGTTGATGATAAGCGACGGCTTAATGTACTTGAGCGGCTCGAACGGGTACTGATTGTTGATAGTAGCCAATTCGTTGGCGTAACGTTCCTTCAAGCCATCGAAAATGTAGATGTACAGGTCCGAGAACACCTCCAGGACCTCGTGGTAGTGCTCCTTAATAGTCATCTCCAGATCCAGACCCACGAACTCGCACATGTGACGGTGCGTGCTCGAGTTCTCAGCACAGAAGACCGGGCCGATCTCGAACACGCGCTCGAGACCAGCAGCAGCACACGCCATCTGCTTGTACTTCTGCGGACTCTGAGCCAAGATGACGTCCTAATCGAAGTACTTGAGTGTGAAGCAGTTGGCTCCGCTCCCCGAGGCGCCAGCGACCAGCTTGGGTGTGTGGGTCTCCACGAAGTCGCGCTGGATGAGGAATGCACGGAACAGCTGGCCCACAGCGGCCTGGATGCGCTTGATACACTGGTTGGCAGGTGTATGCAGGTCAAGCGGACGGGAGTTGAGACGATCCTCCAGACCGACGTTCACGTAGGAGGATCCGTTGCCTTGACGAAGGCGTCGGGGCGGGCAGCGTCTTCTACCTGGAAGGCAATTCAGGCAGAGTCTTGCTGACCACGAAGAACTTCTCGACGTTCAGCTCCACGTTCTTCTGTGCCGTGCTAAGTACGGGGCTGTCGGGCACACTGAGAGTGACATACACATCGACGACGGATTTCTTGGACACACCGGCCGCGAGCTTAATCATAGGGACGAGAACCGGTCGCTCTCGCGCAAAATGCCCTGGATCGTGGCTGTCAGCTCGTGCAGAGTGATGAATGCGATCTTCGACTTGGCACGCACAGCTTGCAGGTGGCCACGCGCCCAGAAGCTCTCGCTTCCCCCCTGCACTCACAGCTCATCGAATCTCCACACGCACTGGGTCCTCACGCGTGTCCAGCAGCAACCAGCGAGGTGCACGTGGAGACCAATCCATCGACCGCGATTCCGTGAAGAGTGCCAGGCACATCGTCAACGACCTCTGCCCCGTCCAGTGCAATGACGCCCGAGTTCTCTACGAGTCGCAGCTTGATGCGATCCAGTCGACGAGCAGGTTCCAATGCGTCCAGCAATCTGGGCTCGCCGATCCGACCCCATAACTGGACGTCTGTTCTACGTCAACCTGGTAACCAACCGCTTGTACGCCAAGATCCCGTCGTCAGTCACCGCAGCCATGCTCAATCTCGGCCATGAAGCTGTCGCAAATAAACGCGCCGCTGTTGAAAATCTCAACCGGAAGAAAGCCACGGTACCAATTCTTCACCCTCGCAGATCGACCTCGTTTCGAAGATGATTGTGACGCAACCACGCGGATCAACAGCTTGCCATGATGGGTTCTCTCTGAAGAGCTGCCAGCTTAACGTGCCAGCCAAGTACAAGCCACTTTCAAGTGCTCAGAAGAGGGCTCGTACGGCTTCGTTTGCGCGAAGACGGACACGGATACCAAGAAGAACATTGCTATCAAAAAGATAACGCCTATGGTGGATGACGAGTGGGACGCCAAAGCACACGTAACCACGGACTTCTGACTCCTGTAGGTACATCCTTACACAGCGCTCGTACGGACGGCGTCACGTCTCCAACCGACGTATCATGTTGGCGTCCTCGGGAGTGTACAATGAGGCGGTGGATATGTGGTCCATTATCTGTATCTTCGGCGAGCTATTGAATCGTCGACCCATGTTCCCTCGCTCCGACTTCCTGGATCAACTATCTCGATTCTTCGGAGCTCTACCCGTTCCAACTTCTTCTAGCTTGGTACACACGCCGAAATGTTCTTAAGCCGCGGATTCTAAAGTGAATGAAAAAAAAGCATAGCCGATGTATTCATCAGCTTTTACGGATGTAAAGGTCAAACTAAAACATTTCAGTATCCAGCTCATGTAAAGGCTGCAGCAGATTCATCGGGATGCAGATATTGTACTCGTCAATGAACGTTGGACCAGATTATTTTAACATGCCATTTGAAAAGGCGAAACTTCTCGAGCTGGTACCAAAAAAGAACAAGGAGCCTACGTAAATGCTCCTTAGCATCTCGTGCATCTAGTGAGCTATTTGCGTCCTTACTAACATGTCTGAGCCAAGCACCTCGCAGCAAGAGCTGGCACCAGGCCAGAAGGATTACGTAGTACGGTGCTTAGACTTCATGTTCAAAGCTAAGGAAGATGGCCTCTTCAGAGGGCAGCGAACCCGGGACCTGGTTGCTGAGTGTCTACAGATAGCACACGGCACTGTTACGACTGTGACGAGCACCTACAGAGCCGACAATGAGACCAAGTTTGAGGTGCACATCAGCCATTTAGCGGTGCATGTTCCTTATCAGCTATTTAACGTTAACCTCTATTATTTTATCAACGCGGAAGGAAGCGTGATTACGACCCAGCAGAGCGAAGGATAAGGTGCCTGTTTAAATAAATATTTGTTTTTTCCTTGCACTCAAATCGTTACAATCGTAATCGGATTTGTTGCTACTAGCCGAGTGCCGCCGCTACGCGGCGGGTAAGAATGAATGTCGTTCCTTGTATTTTGCCTCCGTTCCGCTCGCCACGGGCTCGCTTCACTACTCGCTCGGTAGGTTGGCAAATTGAGGCTCAGGCGGGCCCAAAGGCCCGCAGGGTTGCAGAAGGTGCCGATTTGGGCCGCCTCGCTGCGCTCGGCAGCTTTTAGGCCATTCGGGGCCACCTTCGCTGCGCTCGGCAGCCAGTAGAAATATTTTAATTATTTTATCCAATGATTTGTCCGGAAAAGCGTGACAGGCACGACAATTTAGTGTGACGGACAGACAGGTTGCTGCAGTAGATGTTTAAGACTAGCCGTTCGCCGCCGCTACGCGGCGGAGTGGCATGGTTTGTTGGAGATGCGGTGGCCGCAGATTTAAATGCTTCTTGGTGTCGCGTACTTTGTTAGCGTCGTTCACCCCAGTAGATCTTGGCTTCGTGTACTTAACTATTTACCATTCCGTAGTCTCATGCGGACCCGTGTAATATCGTTGTTGGGTACGCTTCCGTTACCCCGTACTACAGGTTGGATGTCATGATCGACAGTGGCCGGCGCTCTTCCGTGATCTTTCTGGCTTCGTGGCTACCTGCCCACCGGTGACCCACGCTGCTTATTGGTTATACGACCTCTCTTTTGGGATCATACTTGTTAGTACGGCCTCTTTCGTGGCCGTTGGCCTCCCATCGCTGGTACTCTGGCCGAAGAGTCTATTCCGTGGTTTGGCGCATTCACGCAGTCGTATTATTCCATCACCCGTGTATCGTGCTCTCCTGGTGAGGTTCCATCGACCGCGGTATCACGCTATCGTGCAATCGCGGTGTGGTAATGCTGTCTATGGTATTGTGCTCGCGTAGTGCACCTGCGTTGCCCGTGCTATTGTGATTTGCAATGGCATCGTACTCCACAATGTGGAATCGTGGTCCCCCTAAGAGCCCCCTCGTTTATTTCGTGGCTGGTCCACCGTCCGTGCAATCGTGTTCTCATGTACTACTGTCCTTCGTGGCTCGGTAAGCTCAGGTTCTACACTGGTATGGTGTTCCGTAGCTTGATGGTCTTCGGTCTAGGGTGCTATTCCGTGGTTTGGTGCCTCCATGCAGTTGTGTGGTTCCGTCGCCCGTGCATCGCGCTCTCCTGGTGAGGTTCCATCGACCGCGTTACCATGCTATCGTGCAATCGCGGTATGGCAATGATGTCTACGGTATTGTGCTCGCGTAGTGCATCTGCTTTGCCCGCGTATTGTGTTCTACAATGGTATCGTGCTCCGCGGTGTGCAACCGTGGTATCCCGAATCGTTTCCCTGTGACTTCGTGGCTGGTACGTCGTCCGTGCAATCATGTTGTAATGCACTATTGTCCCTCGATGCTAGGTGACCTCAGGCTCTACACTGGTACCCGGCTCCGTGGTTCGGTGATTTCGCGTGGCTGCGTGTTCTCCCACGGTTTAGTGGTTAATCCAACGTCTATGCTGTCGTTTATGGCGTGGTGTTGACGTTGGTCGGTCGTCCAAGCTATCGTTAGCTACCGTAGTATCGTGTGCCGTGGGTCGGTGGGCTGTCCTGGTACCGTACTCCAATGTTCAGTGATTTCCCGCTTATGCTCTCCCGTGAATTTGTGTTTGGCCGCCGACCGTGCTTCGGGGTAACCTGTGGTGGGAGAACTCCTTTCCGTGCACTCGCACAGCTGCGTGGTCTACCGTGACTGTGAACGTGCTCTCTCTTGGTCCGTGCTTTTTCAGCGTGTTGGCGTTTCATTATTTCAGCTCTCACCCGCTGTCATCTGATCGTGCGGCTCCGTGTTTTTCAGGCTCTTCCCTGGTTCGTGCTTCGTATGAAATTTCGTGGCCTATTCTTTTATCGTCCGTGACTTTCCGTATTTCAAGCTGTTCCTTCTATCGCGTTATGTACATGATCTGACTCGGTGTTCCTCCGTGTTTCGTGTTCTTGTTTAATCACGTGCCTCTACGCTAATACAATCACAAACACTGCTCCCACTGCACTGCATGTATGCTACGTATCGTGTTCGAGAGGGCGCACATGCTCTTAGGGGTGCAAAATACGCGCTAATACAAAGAAAACGTTCTTTTTTTAGGGCCATGCCGAACCGGGCGTTGATCGTGCCATCCGTGCCATAGGGGTAGGCATCAACTCAGATGCCATTTTCTTCATGCCGAACCGAAATCGGTTCGTGCCACCGTGCGCGCCATGCATATTTGCATGGTTCGACTGTTCCGTCATTGTGGTGCAGGAGGTTGGAACTTTGTACGACATGTGGAAGAGCGTCAATCAGAGCTACGTCAAGGCAATGGCTCGATTCACAAAATCGGGAGAGCATGGAGATGATTTCTACAGCTTTTGTGCTGGAGCGTTGGATGTGTTTTACCTGCGCGAGCGACGTCGCTCCAAGCAGGGACGTCTCTCGTCACAGCTGGCTAAGTAGAGCGCCACTAATTGCAGCGAGAATACAGCAGCAACCAGTCCCGAATCCCCCTCCATCTTTTAACGCGAAAATGGAAGTGCAAGCCCGCACGAAATCGCTGTAAATTCGAATGTGGCACGTGGCATGGCATGGCATTACGCGGAGCCATGGCACTTTCGCTGTGCCATCGATGGCAGGTTGCCCCCTAGCCCGCTCATCTGGCAGACCAATCAGATGCCGTCGTGGCACGGATGGCACGACATGGCTCCGGTTCGGCATGGCCCTTAGTGGCGGAGAAGTGTACATGGTTATGTGCGGTGGAAGCCACTATATTCATATTTTAAATAGTTAATATTAATAATAAATTGTGCATCTTCATCTAACGCAAATATGATACAATACTTTAAGGTAATTAGTATTAGATATTAAGTTTATTTAATTTGATAAGCGCTACTAAATTAATTTTGTGTAGTACTACTACAAACGTCTGCAAGCAATAATATGAGGCTTTAGAATAGTACTAAGCAAAATTATCTTAGAAAGTTAAATTATTAAAAAAAATGCTACAAAGCTAAAACAAATCATATTATAACCAATAGGTACTAAAGGCTTCATTTAAGCCGAAATATAAGTCACCAAGGCCTACAATTTTTTCAAACAGCTCCTACGACGATATACTACGTGTGTGCGCATTGGCGCCTTCTACCAATGCTAACTAACGCGCGCACAGGCAGCGCCCTTTGCGTGAGGTGGCGCTCCAGGGTAAAAAATAGGGGCAAAATGAAATTTGAACTGTGCATTTTAAGTACGATGTGTAGACCACATATAATATGTACACCACATATTGCAATTTTAGCGAATCGAGGCCGCCTTCGCTGCGCTCGGCAGCCAGTAGAACGCGCGTATTTGCGTTACATTTTAAAACCCTAGCCGCGGACAGAAGGACGCAGAACACACACTCCACTAGAGAGGTAAGATTCAGTTGCGTACTTTCTTGTACTTTCTTGCGCAAATCCATGTGGTTTTGGGAATTGCCCAATCAAATGACCGCCTCAAAGGCAACCCGTTTCCCGTAAATCTGGGGCATCTGGAAAGAGTTTAAAAATAGTCTTGTAGCGCAAAAAACGACTGCGAACTAGCTAATTCTGACCACATTTTTGAGATCTACGCCCGATTTTACCCCTTATATCTAACTGTTGGTATAGGATTTGGGTTGCTGAATCTTCATAACAGATGGATACATTTTGGTCCAAGGACTTGTGACGAGTACAATAGGCATGCGGCTGTGATGACATCACTGATGTGTATCTGCAAGACAGTCTAATTCAAAGTACAGTCGTGCACCTCCAATTCGACAGGGCGGACCATATCAACCGTGCCAGGGCTTAAGTGCACAACGTAAAGCAAAAAACAAACGCAAATCCAGTGCACTGATATTTTACTTGTTAATTCACTACAAAATTTACGCCAATCTTTTGCATAATCTTGGCGTCAGACGCGCGAATCGCGGGCGCGCAACAGCGCTTCCGGTCGCGATAGGCGTCCGGCAAGGCGGCAACTTCCGCGGACCGCTTAAGAATACTCTGGACGGTAGTGCGCTTTACTGCTTGGAAGTTCTTAAAGCGCTCCGTTGCCCAACGAGCAAGTTCGGAGTGAGAGCATGCAGGATCTGACTTGTGCTTCTCGCACAAAGACTGCTTTTGTGGGACATGTAGGAGGAAGGGCGATGTCCCATTGTATGTGGCGGTAAAAATCAAAGTGTGTGTTTGTATGAAGACGTCCGATCCAAAATTTTAAATCAGATCGATGCGGCGTGTCATCCTTTGGCGAGGAGGGGAAGGTCGTTGAGGTTAATTGCTAGGGTGGTGATGGGCAAAGGTAATTGCGCATCCGATTCGCGTAATCATAAAATTTGGCAGGGTATCGACTGATACCGGTGTCGAATTGGAGGTGCACGACTGTACATGTAGTAAAAATGTAGCAGGTTACCTTCGACAACGCTTGGTCTGGACTCTGGACTCTTGCGCTCTGCGTGTGGGAGCTCTTGATCTTGCAGATCTGCGCAGGTTGTGGGTAGACTGTCGGTACACCGGCGTCTGCACATTCAGTGAAGAGAACAGCACACTGACGTGTGCTGTTCTCTTCAAATCGTGCAATATCTGGATCGGTCTGTGGTACTGCAGCTTGCAGCTCTTCATGTACGTCAGGCAGTGGACCTGTCGGTGATGGAACGACAGGACCTTGCTGCACTGGTACCGGTACCACCACTGCATTCTGCACTTCACGCAGCTGTACTACCGGGTTTGGATGGTCCTCTACCAGAGACTCGTTCGCTTCCATGGAATCAGCAACTGTAGGTGGCCCGTACATAGCACCTTGAGGCTCTATTGGGCCACCTTCGTTATTGTCTGTATCTAAGTCGCCATTTCCTATCCGCCGAGCTGCAGTGCGCGATTGTTGTGCCGGCCGCACAAATCTTTGCGAAGGAGTTGGCATACCAGGACATGCCAGCCCAGAAAATTCGGTTGCCTTAACAGCGTGTAGGCATATCCCAGCTTTCTTAAAGTACAGACACAAACACGTGTGCAGTAGCATCAACAATCCATCCACCGACAGGCATGTTGACCCAGCTAATTCTAGCGTAGTTCTCGTCCTCGTACGTACACGGCTTTTTGGGATTTGCAGCCGGAGCATGCACAGATTCACCTGGCTCTTGTGATGAGCTCGTGGGAAGCGGAGATGGTGCGACACGAACCAAAACTAAATTGTTGTCTCGGTGAATCAATTCTGCAGTCATGACCTTTTTTTTATTAGTCCTTCTGTAAGCAGCCAGTAAACGTTTGGATACAGTAGGCTGATCGCAAAAGGGTTGCATCGAGGCGATAAACGAAATTCGTGACAAATCCTGCCAGTACTACCAAACTCATCGTTGCCAATGCTCCAACTCTAACAATAGTGCTGTCGCTCTCAAGCCGTGGGTGCTGCCGTCACCAATGCTGTCACTTCCATGCTGCTCGTGCTATGCCTGTCAGCGCTACCAAACCCGTCATCAATACTGCCAGTGTCAGCTTCACGACGTCGTTGGTGTTGCCAGGAGTAACAATAATGCTGTCACTTTCAAGCTCAGTGCCGATGCCGCCCCTACCAAGTCGTCGGCGTGGCTGGGGCCAATGGTGTAACATTAAAACTATCGTCGCTGGTGTTATCGGCACCAATGCTTCTTACTCCAAGTCGTCGCTGTTATCGACAAGCTACCAACTTCACGTCGTAGGTGCTGCCGCCGGCAGCTTGCCGGCAGCTTGCAAATTCTGCTGGTCGTACAATGCTGCCCACATCGATGGAGGCGATGTTGCTGCACCTTCTCCAACGAGATACTTGACCGGTATTGCTGTCGTTGCTGCAGGTACGACGTCTGTTGGCGAGTCCTTGCTGCGTAGTGTGTGGGCTCTGGAAGAGGATGATCGCGCACATACGCAACAAACTTCGCGCACATACGCAACAAACTTCGCGCACATACGCAACAAACTTCGCACATCGCTGTCCTCGTGTCGCGTGTGGTTGATTCGCGTTAGTGTCAGACCCGCGCCGTCCTCAACGGCGTACTGTGTCGTTTGGCCCCGCAAATGTGTAGCAAGCCTCGCACTTCACATAGCCGATCGAGTGGATAATCCGCAGCAACTTGCTGCAGTGCGACATTCGTGTGATGCACCTTTGACACCGTGACTGGGTACGGAGCACGGAATGCCGTAATCTGTGCGTGGGCGGTGTCGTGGCCAAGATAAACAACTTTGCGTTGCTCACGCTCGATGCTACTGCAGGTAACTGGCAGCACGCCATGAATTCTGCTTTGACGTGGCGGTGGTCGTGTTACCAGAAGTCCTTAACACTTCAATCGCTCTTTGCCGGTTGCCTGCTGTTGATGCAGTAGTAGGCGGTATAACTCGCTGTACGCTGCACGCTCGTCGCCTCCGTGTAAATGCGTTGTTGCGCGACATTGCTCGGCTGCTTTGATAACTCACGAACACGTGAGACGGAACTCTGTGTGATGTGGGCCACACAATCCGTGAGATGACATCTCGTTGGTGTGGTCCACAAATTGCAAACATCGAAATCGATATTGGAGCTCATCCATTTATAATACTCAGAAGTATCGCGCTCTGGGGTAACTAACTCTGAGGGGGAAGGAGTGCGAAGTATGCTCGGGATTTCGGCTGTAGTGGATGCCGAGTCGTCTGTCTAGGCCGCAGTCGCTTGTCATCCGTGACGGGATGCAACAGGTGGTGGATAGCAAACAACTGGTGCCTGGAGCCATCGTGATCCTCGTCACAGGCGACGTTGCGGGCTGTTCACTCCATGTCGTGTCGATCTCAAGTGCGACGAAATGCTGCGCACGGGCGTGGTCGCTATGTACGAGCCTTTCTCCTCCGAGCTGGCCACCTCTGCTGAGTTCGCGACTCTGCTGTACCACACAAGCGACCGCAGTGACTGGGACACGATCGATCGCCTCGTCACTCACCCCGCGCTCGGATCTTCGGGAGACCTTACCATCCTGCACAGACATCATGAGGCGAGAGCAGCAGCTGCGAGCGCTGCAGCAGGAGAAGACGCCGACGCAGCGCCTTCTTCCGCACAGCCGCCTCAGACCCCGTTCTCGGTGGAGACGGCTATTCTGCGCGACTTGATCTACCGGAACCGCACGCCAGACCAGCGAGCGCGAGAAGACGCCGAAGCTCAGGTTATTATGAAGTCTATCGTGCTGGCTCCGTACCGCGTCGAGGTGCTTTTTGTGCTCTGCACCCTGCTGAACGGCAAACGCAAGGTCGACTTCCAGGAGCGACTGGCCGAGATGGGACTGGTCACGACGCTCAACCTCATGTTCGACAAGTTCCAGTGGGACGCCACGGTCACGCCCAGCCCGGCGCACGAGCCCTTACACGGACCTGGCTGTGACTGCAGTCTGGACGCGTCGTTGAAGATCCAGTTCTTGCGCTTGATTCACAACTTTTGCGACCGCGACTACAGCGACAATAGCAGCAAGTTGCTGCTGCTCAGTGAGCACGAGATCCAGCTGATGAATGAAGGCGGCTCGACGTCTATCAACCTCGACCACGCGGACAAGGGACTGCTGTCCAAGATCATCCACGCGATGATAGAGCAGCCAGTGGACTCGATCTACCGCTTCTGGCTGGCCTCGTGTGTGGAAGCCTTCTTGCGGCGTGCGGCTCCGAGTGAGCAGCTCTTCGTTGCGCGTACACCTCTGCTGAAGGCGCTGATAGCGGAGATTCTCAGTGGAGGCGCGTACCGTTCGCAGGGCAGCTTCCAGTCGGCCTTTGATCTGCTTGGAGAGATGACCAAGGGCAACCGAGAGACGCTGCGGCTGTTCCATGGACTTCTGAGCAACACCCAGTTCGCGACTTTCATGGGTACGTTCGTTTCGTTCCACTGATTGGTTCTTTACTGGTATTTAAACTGACGCACTCTTGTGTGCTCGTGGTCGTACAGAAGTGGTCCTTTTGAACTTGGTGGACTCGAATGTGTTCATCCGGTCGATGCTTTTGTCTTGTGAGAAATTCGCAAAGCAGCCGGAGAGCGGGACGTTTGGCGTGGCTGACGACTGCGAGATGGACCGCATGAGCGAGTTCCTGGCTGTGAATCTGGTGCGGCTGCTGCGTGATCTCATGACGATCGTGACGATGGACGACATCAACCACGAGAACATTTGCTGTTTGAACACCGCCATCGTGATCCTCGTGTTCCAGCATCGTCGGGAGCGACTGCCAGCGATCCTGGAGGCCCTGCGCGACCACGAAGTTAAGACCAGGAAGAGCAGACCGAGTGTAGTTAGCTTGTTGCTAGTGAGTTTATCAACAAGACTGCTTACTGCGCTACAGTTTTAAAGGAAGACCTTGCACGCGCGGAAGGAGCGCAATAACTGCATCACTCATTTTCTCGGGCTGGGCTTTATCACTTATGCAGGGGCGGAGGGCTCAATTTGGGCCGGGTTTGTTGATTGCGCTGCGACGGGTTCTTACGAGTATACAAATGAAAAGTATACGGGTCACTGACCCGGGGTCAGCAACGAGTAAAAATGGAGTAGAATTGGAGAACCAAGATAAAAGAGGGATCGGCTGGACCTCATCTCTTCAAATAAATAATGGTGGCATTGGTGCTTTTTACTATGGCAAGTCATTACTGTCAAACTGTACTGTGAAAAGTAAAACTTAAAGCTTCATTCGATAAGACATTGGAGAGAATCCGTCAAAGTAAGCACGATCGGCGAGCGCGAAGCCGGCGACGGTCCCGGATAAGCACGAAACCCGGATGGGGTGGTCGCAGAACGGTGGATAAGTGGGTTGCCACCGACCATTCGCCTTTACCCGCCGTTTGCTCATTCGACCTCATTCGCAAATCTGCCTCAGAGACAGCAAGCACCTCTAAATGCTGCCACTACTGCCCGACTACCGATCTCCGTTGAGATTGGTACCTTAGTAGTCATGCCCTCGCTGATGTGCGATTGACACCTCGCCTATTTCTGTGCGATCGATGAGTTGTGTACAGTACACATACTAGCCGACCGACACTTTGAGACTTCAACATCGGCAAGGCATCCACCATACTCGTCCTCAAGCGTCTCGCCCCGACAAGACCAAGTCTGTCTTCAAGTGTGCTACACGCTGTACTACACGCTGTGCTTCACGACACCCAAGCTGCTTGGCTTCCGAAACCAAAACAGACGGATCGCGCTTGCTCAAGTGGTACATCACCTGGCAGCTGACTAGACTGCTGTCAGGTCTCCATGTTCCGTGGGTACATCTGGGCTGTCACGTTGACTATCGCTGGTCCGGCCAAGATATCCGGATGCAAGCCACCTAAGTGCCTGGCACCATGATCTTCAGCGTGAAGTCATTCAAGGAGTGGAAGCTGTGGGGGCCTCCACAGTAATTCTCGCTCATGCGTCGACCTATTCTTCCAAGCCATGATATCGACGTGCAGGCAAGAGTGACTGATGGCTGCTCGTGGTTGCAGCTGCGTGTACAGCAGTGACCACAGTGACCGCAGTAACACCAAGCTGCTCAAGATCGACACTAGATCCTGTCATTTATGATGGGTTGGTGGCACTGTGCTGTGACTTGTACACCATATGGCACTATCTCTTAAGCTTAGAACGGTCATGGTCCAAGTGTAAGCGCGAACACGTTGATGCTGTCGGCAACATTACGACAAGCCCCTAAGTGTTGCTGTCATTGCTTCTGCTTCCAAGTCGTCGGTGTATTCAGTACCAACGGTATCAAGTCGTCAGTGACACAAGCTCTAGTGCAAGGCGGACTACAAGCTCTGCCGGGCTAGCCCGTTTGCTGTCATCCACTAGTTTTAAGGTGTAGTGGTACTGCTCAAGCGGGTTGTTAGTAGCCGCGTAGCCTGTGGGGGTACGAAAAGCTTACCAGCGTGAAAAGCGGGCGCTTAGTATCCACTGCGAAATAATGTGATTTGCCACACGTCGAAACCGAATACATATTATACCCGCTCCACGCCATGACCTCACAACAAACTCTCGTTTACGCAGATAGTGCTCTTCATCGATAGCATAGCGCAAATCATACAGATTCCGAAAAATCAACTGAACTGATATCCCATCCAGCTTTGCTTCTTGCGTTTGTCTTTGTACATTTTATGTAACATGGAACCAGCACATTAGGACCATGCTATCAGGTAATTCAGTTGTGCAGGCATTGTACTGAGCTTTGTCAGCGTCCATCATGACAAAGTCGGGCGAAAATTGTACGTCAAACAATTCCAGAATCACACGCTCTAAAAAAGCCAAGTACCAAGCAACGTCTTCATTGCGACGTTGTGGTGTACAGCAGCAAAGAATTGGCTGGAGCCTTCCAGCACGATCTGAAATCGTTTCCGGGCAAGGAAACTGGGTAGTTCACAGTCGTAGTGTCATTTTTATCGAGCCTCCGAGCTCCAACGCAGCTGCTCGCGACCCGAGCAACCACGAGGACCCGTTTCAAGCAGCCACGTGTGAAAATAAAGACGCAGAGCAGCAAGATGAAGTAACATACGACTCGAAATTGGGTAGGGATGAGTCAGAGACTTTCAGTCGGCGTGGTCTGAGAGAGAGGCCCAATCGAAGAGCTATCCAGCATGACCAAACCGGCAAGGCTTTTTCTCCCTCTCAAGTGGCAGAGCTGAACGGTACTGATGAATTGACGCGTACCCGACGATCCAAACGATGTGCAAACCGCTCGCTTGGCCTCGTCCTAAACGCTGCCCACGTTACCCTGAGAGAAATCACTCGCGAGCCACTCAACTTAATCGAAGCAAAAGCATCAAAGGAGTGGCTCCAATGGGAGCGAGCAATCAGGAGGGAGATTGCGACCTTACGTGACAACGCCACGTTCGACGTGGTAGAAGCCCCACCTGGAGCCCGTATAATCGGTTTCACCATTGTGTTTCGCGTTAAAATGAGCGAATTTGGGGAAGTTGAGCAGCTGAAGGCCCGTATTTGAGCTCAAGGATTCACACAAGAAATTCTAAAGGATTACTTTGCAACATACGCTCTAGTAGCCAAAATCAACTCAATACGCGTATTTCTTGCGTTGGCTACCCAAAAAGGGATAAGCGTACGTCAGGGCGATGTCCCTACAGCGTACGTCAAGGCAGGGTTGACTGAAGTTATTCATGTCCGGCAACCCCGCGGTTTTGAAGAAATCAGTACGTCGCTTGTATGGCGCCTGAAAAAGGCTCTGTACGGCCTCAAACAAGCCGGGCGAGGGTGAAACATGGAACTGAGCAAGTTCTCAGTCTCGTATGGACTTCAACCCACGAGAGAGGACCCATGCGTGTACACTCATCCAGTTGACGATTTAATTGTACTCGTTTATGTCGACGATTCTGATAGGCTACAGAGAAGAACTGGTACTGCAAGGACTAATGCAAGCCATGAAGAACAAGTACCAGGTCAAGGACTTAGGTGACGTGCGTAGGTTTCTCGGAATACGGATCACCATGGACCCATAGAACGGAGTGACTACTCTCGACCAATCTCATTTTGCGCCCGAACTTATTCGGCGCTTCGGAATGGAGGATTGCCGTCCTCGCAAAACGCCGCTAGATCATGGAGTAATACTTTACAGCAAAGCTTCGGATGAAGATGATGCAAGGGATGTTCCCTACAGACAAGCCGCCGGAGCTCCGCTATATCTTGCTCGAGTTAGCAGACCAGACATCGCCTGCACCGTCAATAAAGTCGCTGCTCACGCATCCGCTAAAATGCAGTGAAAAACATTTTATGGTACATTGAAGGAACCAAATAAATGGGACTAGTCTACAAAGAAATGAAGATGCAGCTCCCGTCAAACGCTATACAGACGCGGATTGGGCTAATAACGAGGAGGATCGAAGATCGGGAATTCTTCTCCAAGTTTACGAAAACACTGTTTCATGGCAGGCCAAGCGGCAACGAGTCGTGTCCAAGTCGTCAACTATTGCAGAATACATTGCCGCAGATGACGGAGTCGAGAAAGCGTTATGGACACGTTAAATGTTTCAAAGATTGATGGGGACCCAACAGATGCCCATTATTCCAGCCATGATTGATAACAAATTGACTATCAAAAGACTGACCGACGGAAAGAGCTAAGAGCTCAAAAGTCTGTGGATTGCCGCTTCTTCTTAATCCGCGACGCCGGTAACTCAGGTGACCTCCAGCTCGCTTATTGTCCCACGTCAATAATACTGGCCGATGGATTGACCAAGGCACTTGGAACTGTTCACTTTTGTGAGTTAAGATCCGCCATCGATGTTGTGGAGCTCACTATCGCCGCCATCTCCAGCGCAGGTAGGGAAGTGTTGAGGTAGCCATCTAGGAACCTTTGATGACCCCAGATTTGTGTACAGTATTCTCTTTGCTTAACTCAACAACTAAATCACTCTTGAATTCCCCAAATCCCACACAGAGGGAGAATCACATCAAATTAGCTTGTCATGCGTGCCTGTCCATGCTTGCCTGAGAGCTTGTCTCTTCGAAAGCCTGAGTCGCCGACAAGTGTAGCAGCCACAGAGTCCCAAGCAGTAATGACCCCCCCCACGCTCACTTAAAAAGGGCCGATCGAATGCTCCTTGGCGCAAGCAGTGCAAGGTCATCTTCGTCCGTGAAGTTTTGAAGCTTCTCTTTGGGTGGCATAGCTTTACAGGAAATGTGGGCGATTTGTGTGACGGGGTCACACAGCACCTTGCGCTAGAGGAAGTTGGCTTCCGAGATTTACAAGCTCTCAGTGAGCGACAGTTCACAGGTCCTCTTTGCCTAGAGGGAGCGAAGTGACCAATTTAACGTAGGTTGTAAACTGAGTATATTTATAGGTAGGCTAAGCTTAAGTTAAATATACAAACTATAAATCACCTATATAAAAGCAATGTCATCAGCCAATGGTTGGCCTCGGACGACCCTGGTACCGTGTACCAGATATTTTGAGGTGTAACGTGCCACACTTCATGTAACTAGGGGTACACTTAGGGATACGTACCCCGTTACATCCTCCCCCACTTAGGTTCGGTTTATCGACCAATCAGAATGAAGAGGTGTACGTCACAAACCTTCATTCTCAAAGTCGAAAGACATCGACTTGTCTGCGCGAGCGTTGGAAAGGCGCAAGCCAAGAGTGCTAAGCCTCATGGCAAAGTCTCATCACTCCAGGAGGCTACTAAGGTGACCTCCGAGGAGATCGGCTCAACTGGTGGCGTGGCTGTCGGCAAGCGTGCGAGCAAGCGCCGCAGTCCGTCATCTTCGGTCTCCCCTGAAATGCTCACATT